GTACACAAGAGTTTTGAATTTACCTTAGTTCCCAAAAATTTGTGTGCCATTATATTGAGCACAATTTATTTGAGCCCGAAAAATTTGGGCAGAAAATTTGAACTCATTTGGGCGACCGAAAATTTGGGCACAAATTCTTCGAAAAATGAACGATTTTACACTAAAATTTCAGTTAGATATTTGCCTTAGTTCATTATTATTCCTTACTATTCCAGTCATTTTGCTTTAAATTTTAAGCATGTAGGTGGTAGTCTGAGTTGTTTCACATTATGAAATTTACGATCTGCCCAGTAACTACTAAAAAATACAGTGATGATGGCACAGTACAAAATGATAGATATACATACAATAGTGATATTTAGTCTCTCAATCAGATAGTTTAGTCTACTTACACTCAGCATATCTTATCATACCCCTTTCACATACAATTATCATTATGACGCCTCACCAGATGGTCGAAAGGTTTGGAAGAAAATTAGAAGGTTTACATCATGATCTATCAAACTAAGCGGCACATACGCTTAGCTTTGGGGGAAACAAAGGTGTACATAATTGTGTGTAGCGAACTACTGTAAACCCGGACCAAAGGTCAAGTCTAATTTTAATTAACCAGACATTCATTTAAAATATAAGCCTTTTTACTTGGTCAAGCCATGAATGACAGATTAGAAAACTAAAATTTCAAATATTATTTCACTTGGATATGAAGAAAAAGACATCTTTCTATAGATTTCAGGGCCACAGGCCAAATGCCAAAAGTTTGGTTAGCAAAAAATTTAGCAGACGGAAAAGATTTATGCATTTAATTTGGTCTGCAAAAAATTTGGGCGAGAGGCCCGCTCAAATTTTTTGTCGCCCAAATTTTTGGGAATTAAGGTATTGAATATCAAGAATGGAAAGATAACGAATACATCAATAAATACAAGAATTTATCACTACAAGTATAATGATATTGTTCTGGCGTCAGAAAAAAGGATGCAACGACTACAAAATATTAATAAAAATAAAAAAGACTATTTGATAATATTGTAGGTCACTAACCCTACTAAGTCGCCACCCGTTAAACCCTTCAGTTAGCAAAGGCAGAAGTAATTTGATCAATAATAAATAACAATATAAACGTAACTTCCTTATTTTAGCTGTTTTATTTCACTTGAAACCCTCCAAATTACCGGCCCATTCAAAACTCACTATCTACAAACTTACAAATATGCGACATTCTACAAGTACAACTTATGAACCAGGTAACGGGGATTTTAAAAAAATCCACAATCGTTTAAATTAAACGAAATTTTCGATTTCTAGTATTATACTTGCACATGTTACCTTATTAAAAAACAATTTAAATTGGCATGCTACAAAAATTAAAAGTATAGTCGTAAAAGTCGTCTACGATGTGGGATTACTTTAAATTTGGAAAAGGTCGCCCATAAACGTTGTGGGAATGGCCAAATGGTGGCTTTTAAATTCGTTAATGAAGCTGTTAAAAGTCTGGAATCTTTACAGCATACGGACATAGTTGGCATTAAATAGCTGCTGGACGTATTTAGTATGTACTAGGATTACCGAATCGTCAAATATTCGGTATTTGGAAACTGAATACCGAATACCAAATCGACCGAATAGATTTGGTTGACCGTTTCGCTAATTCGGATATCGGGCTATAAATCTGAATAATTTCCGAACTATCGGGACGTGCCAAACATATAATTTGAGAAATTTCTGATTTCGGGAGATAGTGAAAAATGCCAAGCTATAGTAATAAAACTGACAATTACGGATAGTGCTCAATCCAACAACGGTAATTCCACAGATCGCGCCCGCAAAATGACACATGTTTAGTATGAGACGAGTGTCATGATTGGATTTTCCATTATAGCGGTTGCAGAGAGAAAATCCCAAATTCACTTTACACCGAAATTGCGACATTAACCACTTATGTCGTCACATGACATACGACTTCTTGCTTAATGTGCTCATTTAACGTTCTAACACTTTTAGAGCTCTAAAAAAATGTCCCGTTGATGATCAGACAGACACTAGACAGACTTACGCGTTCTCCGGTACGACATTGGTGTGATCGCCGTGATGACCAATGCAGTATGTTTATTAATGGATGATGATTAATCACTCTACACTCGACTGTCACGTGACTTTTTCAACCTGTTCTCTAGCTGGTCCTGAACGACTATTTGAAACCCTAACCCTCTAATCTGATCCCAACCCTAACCCTAACCCAATCCTTAACAAAAGCATATGCTCATATGCTGAAACCCTAACCCTAACGAGAAATTAGACTAACTTCCTTATACGGTCATATCACGTGATCGAGACAGTTTTTCGCCAATATCTCGTCAGGGGATCATTTTAACCCTATGTCATGGGGGGTGATTCGGAATCAGCGTCTGAAAATACACCGTTAGAAGTTGGTTTGAACTGTCGGGGGCCCTTTCAGAACAATTTCGAAGATCGGCTGTAGAGTGATTTAGCACGCTCGTTTATTAATCTAACCTACCTTCAATCAGAGATACTCTTCCAGAGAATAGAAGTGAGATCAACAAAAATATCATTCCAGCCAGGACTCGTAGGGGGGGGGGGCCAATGGCATAAAATGGCATAAAATGGCATAAAATGGAGACTTTTTCTATGGAGAAAATGGAAAAACCCATGAGTAATTCTCCATTTTCTCCATTTTATGCCATGAATTTTGTCTTCGAAATTTCATCTTTAACACCATTTAACACTTAAATTGGACATCCTAACATGTTTATTTACGCTTACTAGGGGCGTAACAAGCTTATGAAAGCTCATAGTAGGCTTCTAGATGCTTATACTAGGTTAGTAGAGGCACACTTCAGGCAAACTCATAATTACTCAAGCCTAGTGTAAAGTTATTTCTACAGGCTACAGCAGGAGTGAGTAATAGGGGAGAGTAATAGGCACTGAGAAGTGAGACCTACATCCTCGACATAACAGTCGAAACAAGCTCGCACTGCAAAGGGGAGGCCTGCCTTCCGAGATCGCATTACCAGGGGGAAGCCTCGAGTCCAAATTTGTGTATCGAGGGGTAGGTGCAGACTTCGATAAACCGAAAAACCAAAAAAATATTTTCGGCTTATAATGAAGAGGGTAGCATGAAACGTGGAGAAAAGTGGTTTTTAGAAAAACTTTGAAAAATTTTGACTTAGAAAATTTTCGGCCCGAGTCATTCTCGACACGTACCTCTCGTATCAAGAGCTCCCGATTCCGAGCTCGTGTTGCAAAGGGGAGGCCTGCCTTCCGAGATTGCATTACCAGGGGGAAGCCTCGAGTCCAAAATTGTGTACCGAGGGGTAATTTTCTGAGTCAAAATTTTTCAAAGTTTTTCTGAAAAACACTTTTCTCCACGTTTCATGCTACCTTGTTTATTATAACTATAAGCCGAAAATTTTTTTTCGGTCAAAATTTTTCAAATTTTTTCTGAAAACCGCTTTTCTCCACGTTTCATGCTACTCTGTTCATTATTTGCCGAAAATATTTATTCGGTTTTTCGAAGTCCACACCTTCTTCTCGATACACAATTTTGGACTCGAAGTAATGCGATCTCGGAAGGCAGGCCTCCCTTTGCAACACGAGCTCGGAATCGGGAGCTCTCGATACGGGAGGTACGTATCGAAAATGACTCGGACCGAACATTTTCTAAGTCAGCATTTTTAAAATTTTTTCTGAAAACCGCTTTTCTCCACGTTTCATGCTACCCTGTTCATTATTTGCCGAAAATATTTTTTCGGTTTTTCGAAGTCCACACCTTCCCCTCGATACACAATTTTGGACTCGAGGTAATGCGATCTCGGAAGGCAGGCCTCCCCTTTGCACCACGAGCTCGGAATCGGGAGCTCTCGATACGAGAGGTACGTATCGTAAATGACTCGGACCGAACATTTTCTAAGTCAACATTTTTCAAAGTTTTTCTGAAAACCACTTTTCTCCATTACATGTTTCATGATACTCTGTTCATTATTGGCCGAAAATATCTTTTTTTAAAATAATTTTTCTCGAAATTCTAAATTTTTCAGGTTTTCAATGGCATAAAATGGCATAAAATGGCATAAAATGGCATAAAATGGAGACTATTTCTATGGAGAAAATGGAAAAACCTATGAGTAATTCTCCATTTTCTCCATTTATGCCATTGGCCCCCCCCCCACTCGTAGAGATTCTTGGTTGGTTTATTGCTTGTTATCTTAACTTGGAACAAACAGAGGCAAACTTGAGGTTTGCACAGTGCTACTAACAAATATAATATGGTGTTGGATCGTATGAGATTTTGATTCATTCGAGTCGAGATTATGTCTTTCCTTTGCTAACGATCTATGTAATGGCTAATGATTTGTCTTTTAGGTGGAGAATTTGCATTGCAAGGGACAAATCTGGGAGAGCTATGACATTACTGGCGTTGGAAACTGCTGTTTCATCGGTGCATTCCGTGTATTGTAAATGCTCGATCACAGTGCTGGCAAGCATGACCGTTGCCCTTATACCTCCTATATACTATACTATTATACCCCCTTTACTATTTTTCCAGGCAGTGTATATTGACTGGTTAATTGCCATGCTGTCACGTGTCAAAGAATACGCCTCAGCTCCCTACCAGAATCCACATGATTATTGACATTGACAAATGACACAAAACATATAATTGTAATGCAGTCAGGGTTTGGACTGGAGCTAAACCAGGTTAAAATACAGTGTAGGACGTAGGTGTTGAGCAGAAAGGAATGCAAAGCTGTAATCCAGGCGGTATTCGACTATTTTGTTGCCATGTTATAAACATCATTATAAAATTTCATTGTTATAATATAGAACATTGCCAAATATGGCACAAATTATTGAATTTGAAAGCTGTTTTGACAAAGCGTACCCAAGAGTTTTGAATTTATTGAATATCAAGAACGAATGGAAAGATAACGAATACATCAATAAATACAAGAATTTATTACTACAATGATATTGTTCTGGCGTCAGAAAACAGGTAGCTGGCTGTTATCTTTAGACATCTTCCACGCTAGCTCGAATATCATGAGAGATACTGAGAGGTTGTAGCCTGGAACACAGTGTGGATAAAATAAATATTTCTATGCTGAATATACACATTAAACATGTCAGTGTTGAATAGATACATCGATAATAGGCTAAGGTGGAAGAACAAGCTATTTCCATATTCTATATTTAAACACCTGATAACTCATAGTATGTGAATAGCAGCTCTTCCCTCTTTCTCTTCCACCTCTCCTTTTTAGGAAGAAGCGAGTTTTCTTCCTCATCTTCTTCGTCTCTTCGTCTCTTCCTGTTTGGTCCATCTTCATCATCACTGTCTTCTTCATATATATCTTCATACCTTGGAACCTGTAAAGAAGCCACGATGATTCGAAAACTTGGGAATAATATCCTGAAACTGAAAATGTTTTTATAAAAAATGCATCATACTGCAAACAAATTTGAGATCAGAGATACATTATCGTACGATAATCTCACGATAAATTAAACAACACTTCGAAAGATGCATCAACTTATAATCTCACTACACAATGAAAACCAAAATTTTCATATTTTATGGTATAAATAATGTCATTGCATTTAGACTTTACCTCAAGATCGAAATTTTCAGGTATCACCACTTTGACAACATCTCCATCATAGATATTATCGAGGTCATATGGTGCGTGACTGTCTATGACAAACACTTGAGAGTCTGGCAAAGGTACCAATTCTTCGGACACATTTATGTTACCGCCGCAATCAATTAGCACTATAACTGTATTCTGATGAAAATGTTCATAAAATACAAAAGATTAAAGAATACATTCATTCTTTGATTGAAAGCCCGGAATTGAATAAGGGGCATGTCTCTAATAGCAAATTCTATAAAATACACTATAATCAGGTTTGAAATACTGATAGTTGGATAATATCCTGTTGGAAGAGACAAGGACAAATGAAACAGGAAGTTAAAATGTAAGTCAAATGTAAAAAAATAAATCCTAATTGTTGCACACAGCAAATCATAAGATAATAATATAACTAGTAATTTGTAGATTCTCACCTGGTCTGAATGTGTCCGAAACGCATTTTCAAGATGACTTTTACCATCTACTGTATGAGAGTATATTGAACATTGTCAATGTGCAAAAGGGATTGAAGTATCTTCCAAGCACATAGCCCGTCAACTGTTGTACTCACCAGAATCAACACTCTCTGTAATGTTAACTGTACTTCGATACATGATTCCAATTAATACATCTTATTCTTACTTTATATAAAGCGAGACGATATATTGGATATATGGATGACTCCGTTGCCATTTTACGGGACACCACGGCATCAACTTTAACGCGACTTTCCGCAAAAACTGTAAAAGATATATAACTGAAACTTTTTGACTGGGTCGAATGCTTTAATGGTCTTTAAAATTGACCAAGGAATATTATAGTGCCCAAAATTTGGACTCCCAAGTGGTGTCAAAAAACGCGTTCGAATTAAATAAGGTAATAATTTTTTAGTTTTGAGTTTGAAAACCACTTTGGGTTAGAGGGTTCGGGAGTATGTATAGTTATTTATCTACATTCTATGTACTTATATGTAAAACTAGAAACCGATTTAAATACAGCTGCATTCAAGTAAATCTATAATCATGTTCTAATTTCTCCTTATCATCTAGCTCCATACTGTACAAGGGTAGGAACAAAGTTCGACGTTATCCTTTGAAAATAAATGATCGTGATATAAAAACATGACGTGACAATCTTTAAAGGTGTTTAATTAGAGTCCTCTTACTCATACACAAAATTTCCACGGTAAAACTCCCAAGATGTCATTCAGATCATTGTTTTGCACAAACTAAAAGGTTAATAGGTATTCAATAGAATTAAATTGCATTTTTCCTCTACTTAGAGTCTAGGTTTCTGTAGCTTGCATCATACAGTAGTCTATAATAATTTTTGTAAAGATGTAAGATGCAGTGGCGACCGGGGGGGGGATGGGACCTTATGGGGGGCGGCATTTTCCTGGATTGTAGGTTGATTTCAAGAAAACGCGCCTTATTGGGTGTACTGCCCTGACGAATTTAGCGTTGGTCGCGCGAACAAAATATTTGGGGTACATTTTGCTTCAGGGGGCGGCAAAAAGTGTAGGGGGGTGACAAAAAAAGTACTGACCTTATTTTTTATTTTTTAAGGGACACAAAAATTTTAGGGGGGCGGAAAATTTTTTAGCGGTTGGAAAAATTTTGTCGCCCTTTCAATCAGCGGGGGGCGGCACAAAATAACGTTACGCCACTGGTAAGATGTAAGATATCAGCATGTAGCACACCAGCTGCTAGTATCCAAAATAAATCATGTATTTTTCTCATACATGAGCTGTAGGAGCTCTACGATCTTGATGGGGATGCCGTAAGCTGCTAGTATCTTGAACAATTTCCCACGGTGTGCCGTGTCAAAAGCCTTTTTAAAGAAAGAAAAAAGAAGGGAGGACCCCTACAGCGCAGAAGGTGGATGCTTAACCACTAAAGGCCACCTAGCCGCTGAGACACCTCAACAGAAGTAGACTAAGTTTTAGTCTGCATTTTTTTTTTTTCCCAACTAGCCAAGCGGTGGGTTAAGGGTCCCCCTTGGTATCATTTGTTCGAGCTCAAAGCTAGGGGACCTCAAAGCTAATCTTCTGAGGGGTGAGGTTGAAGGAAACGTCTTTCAGTTCAAGATGCTGGGCCATTGATCTTCCTGTGATTAATTTAATTCTGATTTAATTCCCTTCAAAGCCTTCTTAAAGCCTATAAATGTCAGAACAGCTGGAAGTTAGGGACTCTTTACACCTTCTATGAGACCCCTAAGTACCTATATCTGCTGGGCTGTTGACCTGCCTGGTTTGGATCCATTCTGGTTTCTGCACAGAATGATATTGATTTCTGGATTTAACCTGTTCAAAATCTTTGGTTAACAAATGGTCCCAGATACACCAAAATGGCACTGGGCACCAAGCATGCCACCATCATCCAAATCCTTACCACTAGATTCAATAACAAAAAACAAAAGTACAGAACTGCAGTACACCTTATCACGGGACACTGTGGTCTAAGCAAACACCTTCATACTATTTACAAATCAAACACCAGTGCATGTCCTGTGTGCTCACACTGCGCTCGGCTATTGCACAAAGGACTAGGATGGCAGTATCAGGAATATTACTCTCCGTCAAAAATATTTGAACAATCACAACACCGAACTTGCCAACTCTGTTATGTAGAGGAGAAGTAACAACTCGTTTTCCATAGAAAGGTATAAAAAGGAATATGAATGAGTTAGTAAACAATGTCTAATAAACATATAATATTAATCAATTCAGCATAAATATCAAATATTCAATAAATCTAACCACATTCCTTCTGAAACATGAGCTGCGCGTTCCCTGACGCGCGCGCAAAAATACTTGCTGTGCTGGCAAAATTACTTTCCATACTTGGCGCACAAGATGTAGACCTTTTTAAAGCGGCAGAGTTCACAGTTAAAGACTGCAAATAGTTTTACTGCAGGAAAATCGCTTCACAAATAGATCATACTAACTCTTTCTCAATTTGAATTTATACTGTCATAAAAAACGATTAAAACATGTGATAAAATTCTTATAACATTAAATTTGAACTACATGTAAATTTAACTGTTAACTGTGAATTTAACTGTAAGAATAAAAACTGAGTATAAAAACTGTGGGTGAATTACAAAAATATTTAAGATTTCTTAAAAGTACTCTCTCTGTTCCTCACTCTCTCCGATCGCCTCAAACGGAACATTCCCGGGTTGGAAAACGCTATCAGGATTAGTAGTGATCTCGATGTTCTCTGGTGAAAAAGGTTTGTCCTTTGTCAGTTCTGTTGGGGATTCATGGGAAGTTCTGTGGGGTTCCCAGTCCTTTTCTTAGCATGTAATTGTCGTGTTTCTTTTTCTTTCTCCAACATCCGATTTCTGTCCCTAAGAATCTTTCTCTTGTTCATTATAGGCTGTTTTTCCAGGTGATTCTGGAACAATTTCTTCTTTATTGATCGAGTGTTTTTTTCACGACCGATTTTTGTACGATATATCATACAATGGAGCATTCGGGTATTCTTTAGAGATTGTTGCGGGGTACACACTTTGTTTGTCGTTGATTGAAACCATATGGCTAGTTCTTCGAAACTTTCTTCTCTGATGACTTCCCTTCCAGGATCTTTTCTCGCGTTCTGTGTGAAGACCCTCCATAATCTGTCTGTCAGTCGGTTCAGTGGGTGTTAATCTACCTGTAGTGTTGGTTGAATAACCGCACGGCTGGTGCTATCCGGTAACAGTATTAGGAGTGTTTCTATAATTGATAAGAAACTTGGCGTTGTATTCAAAATCCAGGTCTTTGCAGGTCTCGTATGTCTTTTTCTATTGAACTTTTCCCATGGTACCAACTAATCGTTCAAACACAACATGTGATTTTGGGTGTATGTTGGTGAGAAATGTGTTTAATCCCGTTACTTTGAGCGCAAAGTTTGAATCATAAACTGTATACTGTGGTCCGTTGTCACTACCAAAGTGAAAGAGTAGAACCAAATCGAACTGAAAATGTCTCTCAAAACACGAATTGTGTCTGCTGATTTGGTTGGTCCTTTTGATGATTTCGGGCACTTGGTAAAACTGTCAACAACAACAACAAGATTGTCCTGAAATTGAGCAAAATCCACATGGATCCTCTGCAAGGTTGGGTAGGTCGAATCACGGTGTCTTTAGTCTTTGGTAGACTTCTTCAAACTTGTTGCAAGCTTCACAGGTTTTCGGCCACTTGATCGATTATCCCGATCAATTCCAGGCCAGAACACAAAGGCTTCTAGCAACATTCTTCATTCCTGGCCCGCCTATGTGGCTCGAAATAGAATGTTCAGCTTTACGTACCGCAGTCTGAATGAAAGCGGAATAATAACCCTGTTACCCAGGTTAAACAATTACTTCAAGTGTCAAAATAAAAAAAAAAAAAAAAATATATTCTTTTCTTTCCATAAAGGGAAATTAGGGTTCATATTCTCGGGTTTAATAGTAGGCCACATCTAGAACCCCATGAGAACCTTATTCAGTATCGGATCTTTTTTGGTCTCTCGAGCGATTAGGTGCGTCTATGAACGAATCGTCATATCATCGCAAATACCTTGGCTTCCTCGTCTGACTTTTTCTCGAATAACTGATCGGGGCAATCGAGATAACATATCACAATTAGCGTGAAGTTTGGTGTTCCTATACCGTATCGTATAATTGTAAATTTCATTAATTTCAGGCATAACGATTAATCTATTCGAACTCATCTCTGATATCCTTATTTTGAGTTGAATATGTGTGTTATAGGCAGATGGTCGTAACTAACTCAAATTCACGGCCCATAACAAAATAGTAATGAAGCGCTAACTGCCCATACGATTGCTAAGCTTTATCCATTGTGAGTATTCACTCACTCTTTGATATTTTCGGGAAGCAAAACTCAATTGGCTTTTGGAGCCATTTGGCCATTACATGAGAAATAAACTGTCCCAAACCCAATTTACTCGATCCGTTTTCCTTAAAAGGCAGCTGTGTTAGTATCTACAACCGCGACTTATAATTTTTTTTTAAATCCCAACAATTACAACTTTATATATTATTTATGCAAAATTTATTGATAGTTGATAGTATGTGTATGTCCATTTTTTGTTTTTTTTTTTTTCTTCGTTAAGAATAGGGGTGTGGTTATTAAGTATTCAATATTATCTCTTTTTTTTAATTATCTTGGGGGCTACTACCATTTAAAGTGGAAGTTGGATGATGGTGTTGCCCCCGATGTTGGGGTGGTGTGCACGTGGGTGGCAATGGGGTTGTAGCATGCTAGTTATATGATCCGATGTAAATAAATCTTTTAACTTACCAACGCAGACTGTTCTTCATCGTCCATCTCCACGTCACTTCACTGCTGCGGTTTGTAGGTCTATCAACGGAGCTGAGATTGTTGCTAAATCTGGAAAGTAACGTCTATAATTGAAACTGCTCTAGGAAAGAAAGTAAGCTCTTTCACATCGCTGGGTTTCGGGGTGTTGATGAATCTTCCCTTGCTTCTATGGCGACATTCCGTCTTTGGTAATTT